TGATTCACTCGTCGTTGTTCTGATCAGCTCTGGTATCTGATAGAAAAGATGTCATACTCAAATTACTTATGTAGTTTTGGTGCCTTATTACGAGGCACAGACTAACAGTTTATCAGGATACATACAGTATATATATACTATAATTACAAATTGAAAGTGAAATGCTGCGCGTAAATACTTCCCCAGTCGTCTCCTAGCAGGGCAGTTGGGTAACACGATGTTTATGTGTCATGATCAAACATATAAAACGTCTGTAGTGCGTCTTCGTTTCAAATGACGTCATATTTTCATGACGAAATAAATACGCGGATATTATGTTATTGTGAGTTTCTGATCCCGATGTTTGCATCTTTCTTTAATCCTTAGTTGCTCGTCATCGATTTAATTTGTCTAATTTAAAGCATAACTTATCGAAGTGAAGAGGCCTGCTCAAGGGTTCGCAATTCACGAAAAATAAAAACATGCATGTCAGAGCACGCTTAGTTCAGAATGTAATACCACAAGAGAAGAGAGTTTGGAATTCCGAACGCTTGGTAGATCGGGTATAAACTACACACAGCTAGCAGTTACAAGTGGCCTTTTTTAAGATACTTCCGTGCAGGGTCCGCGGGCAGGACTTTCTCCAAAAAGGCCTTTTTAACCACTGAGACACCGTGGCAGAGCCAAGATGGCATGTCCCTAGCTAATTTGAGGGTCCTAAGACATGCTTGCCTAAAACGTCTTCGATAGTTCAGCGATTGGAAGCACTGATTCACGTAATTCGGCCGGTTACAATTACATCAACGTTTATTGATTGCACACCCAAATGGATATTAGAGAGGTTCATATTTAGCGATACCGGCAATGGATGTCAAATATGAACCTCCATATTATAACTTATGTAAATGGAACAAAGCAGACAATCATCAGCAATTAATGTACCGTATTTTATTATCGAAACCGATGCTTCAAAGATATTCAAGGGATATCATGCATTTAATATTTTTGTATCTTTTATTTTGCGAAGTAGCAAGCACTCGTTGTTGTTTCAGGGCCTTTTTAATCATATAACTGGGGCAATGCCCCGCCTCCAGCCCCCTTGGTCCCCCCTCCTGTCCCTTCATTTCTCTAATATATAAGCGAAACATGGAAAGAAAATGGAATTTACATGCAAGGGAGGTTTGATATTCTGATGACTGAAATTTGCTTTGTGAATCTAATTATGTCATGTTTATCTTCAAATGAACAATGCTTTTTTAAAAATGCTTAAAATTGTGTGATGAATGCCTTAGATTTTAAAAATTTCAAACTGGATAGTATATACCATGAATCCTATAAATTTGAGTTGTTGGAATGCTAGGCTAAATTAGTGACCGAGTTGTGGTATTTACATAAACATACCATGCATGTACTTAACTGACGATTCAGTCTATGTACAGTAACATGCAATGCTGTACATGGCCAGAAATTCAGGACAGTCAGCGGAAAGACGCGCGCGCTCATATTCACCAAATTTCCATTTCAAGAAAGAATAGAATTCAGTCGGGCATGTATCCGACATTGTATTCGTATGCAAATTTTATACGCACAATACAACAATAAGCCGTTTAAAGACTTACTTGAGGTACACAATCATTTTCTGTTTGCTAAAAAGCATATATTTTGTGGCTTTTTGGAACTTGTTTATCCATGCTCTACGGGTTTGTAAACTGTTGGAGAACAAAGATAAACTCATCGTTTATCAATGCAGACGTGCAGAAGCTCCATGTACTGCCCACGAATGTCCTAAAATGCTGTCCAAAAATGTGCATTTTGCGAATTTTGGGAGAATTAACTATCTGGTATATGTGATGAGATAAGGTAGGAATATAGTTCTCGGGAACTGGTTTGTCCTACTTGAGCTGTTCTGAAATTTATTCTGTTAAAGGATCGAGTAATTAAATGATGTTTTCGACGTGCATGCAGAGCTCGGATTTATGTACGAAAAAAGCTGGAAATTGCTAAAACATATATTTGCAATACTTAATCTATATATAAATCAGCCATCTTGAATAATGAATGAGGAAGTACATTGCGTATGCCAATCGCCATGTTGTCCTGAATTTCTGGCCATGAAGTTCTAGTATTTTCAGCATTGATTATCCTCGTATATCTTATTTTGTTGTCTTTTGACTTAAAACTTTGCTTCTTATTGTCCATATTGCACAAATGAACTATAGGTAAATGGTCTGAATTATCACTTATGATAATACCGTTTGTACTACAATTAATTTTTTCAAAATCGTTTGTGTAAATATTGTCAATGAGTGTCGCAGTGTGAGCTGTAATTCTTGTTGGCTTGTTTATAAGAGGAAAAAAAGATGAAGTAAATAACTGTTCAATAAATCTATTTGAAAATTCACAAGATTCCGATTTAAGCAGATCAATATTGTAATCACTCACCTGCGAGGTAACATATTTTGTTTTCTCTTTCAACTTTGTAAAGGATTGTATTAATACATTCTCAAATATTTCAAACTTGTTGTTGGGTGGACGATAGACCAGTCCTATAATTATGTTTTTCCCAGTTGTTTTATTTATTTCGATGAACGTTGACTCAATAACATCCTCAATGTTTTGTCCTAGGTCATCACGAATTTTAAAAGACTGAATTGTTCAGAAATGTACATACTTACTCCCCCACCTCGTTTTTTAGATCTATTTGTTCCTATATATTTATAGCCACTTAGATTGAAACTATCATGATTTATATCATTTAACCATGTTTCTGTTAGGCCAATTTTTTGAAAGTGTATGTCCATTGCATCTAGAAACTGTTTGAAACAATCAAATTTATTCGAAATACTTCTTATATTTAGATGAAGCAAGCTAAAACTTTGAGATTTTTGTTTAGCAACCGGTAACTGTTTCTTAAATTCATTTGGTAAATAGTAATTGCAGTCCATATTACTAATGTCATACAAAGTGTCAAGTTTCTCATTGTTTCGAGATAATGATATGCTGCTGTTTGCTTGAAATGGATCAAATTTTAATTGACTTAGTCTATCCATATCATATTTACGATTTACGCAGCTTTGCTGTGTAAGCGGCATAAATTCATTGTCTGAAAGCGAATAAAATGGTAAGGAATCATAATCGTCGTCGTTTCTAGACATTTTTAGTTAAGAATGTGTTATGCATTATACAAAGCAATTCAAAATGGAAGAAATTTACTTATATACCGAATAATAATAACCGATTGTAATATGACTCCAGTAATAATGACTTATTTTGGTAGATAAAAAAGCTGACCTTCAATATAAAGTTTATCTCGCACAAGTTTTACCCTTTTACCTTGAGCCCTCGCTTTCTTGAATTCTGGTAAAAGTTTTCTTCTAGTATCCATGACCTCCGCGGGGAATTGTTCCGAGATTCCAATGTTAGAGCCCTTTAATTTCTTAGCATTTGTAAGAATATTTTGTTTATCCTGGTAAAAATTAAATTTCGCCACGATCGGTCGTGGTTTCTCTGTTTCACGTCTAGGTTTAACCTAGCCTATGAGATCTATCAATCTTTACCTATGTTGTCGCGTCTTCGATGTTGAATTTCTCTTCCAGTAGTTGATGGATAATCGCAGTAGTATTTTCTTCAGGACTTTCTTTGATATTGTGGAAAATAAAATTATCACGCATTGAGCGTGTTTTCAGATCAATTATGCTATTGTGTAACATGGCGTTTTGCTTTTCTAAGCTTTCGACTCTTTTCTTCGTATCTTCTTCACTTTTCTTCCGCGCCTCACTGTCCTTCTTTAAATCTTTAACCTCTGCCTGTGCATATTCCAACGAAGCTTTAACCGATTTCAAATCGTCGTCTAGAGACTTGACATTTTTTTCTATAGTTTCGAGTTTTTCTAGCTTGGACATCATCGTCTTCAGCATGTCATAAATGTCGTTTAAATCTACTTGTTTAGTCCCTTCTTCTTTGTCTGTTTCTTTCCTATTGCTATTAGGTTTCAGAATCTTTGATTTCGTTGGTTTATTGGGCGTGTTGTTATTCAACGAATTATTAAGATTTTGCGCACTGCGCTTCAAAGCCTGATCCTTCGACATATTGAAACCTGATATTCAACCTCACTATTAAAGTAGATTCACTCTACAGAAAGCTTCATTAATTTTGCCTGCCAGTTTAACAGAATAACAAATAAAAAAGTACTAAAAGTACAAATATCTTTTATAGTACCAACCAAGACATGTCTATATAATTTGTAAAAAGGATTTATAGTAAGATGAATAATTGAATGTTTGAAACCCTCTGGTCGATGAAGGTTAAACATAAATGATAAAATGAACTGGTAACTTTCCTTTAAAAGTATGCTTGAGTATAGTGGATCATATTCTGCCTCCGTAATCGGAAAGCAAACTAGAAATTGTGCTGTCATACCACTGTGCCGATAAAATATTATTCCGCATGGACAACTTTGAACGAACAAAACTGACAATATTTTAGGGTAATCTGGATAATTTTCGTTTTAAAAGCATTAACAATAACATCTTTTACCCACGGTGGAGCGATCAGCTCGGTAAAACTTCGCAAAGTATCTCAAATTCGGGAAAATTCACCTTGGTTCACGTTGTTCGCCATACATTTCTATAGTAATTTGTATCACTCCGTGGTCCCCGGAAGTGATTTTCGCATATAATATGGATTCACTTTTCACACCTAGAGAAGGCATAGTACAAAACCAGAGGAGGAATGATGGTCTTCTCGAAATGCAACGCGCAAATCAGTGCGGCTCATTATTATTCAAGATATTTATTCTCAACGCGCCGTTCGATTAAAAACTGTTGAAATTTATTGCGATTTTTGCTGTGAAGATCTCGTTTTCTCAAAGGTATGTTTTGATAACTTTTTTGTTTAGTAATTTAATAATAAAAGAAGTTTTGAATAATTTTGTATATATATCGCATTTTACCTATGTTAAATTCCCATTGTATTTATGCATGTTTTGGGTCAATGAACATTGTCTGGTGTGTACCAGGAGAAGATTGGTTGCAAGTCAAGAATATAACGTTTTGCACCTGAATTACTTTTGATTTTCGGTAATTGAAATACTTTGCCTTCACCGAAGACCTCCCTTTATACCTGGAATGAAATATCTTAAAGCGAAAGAAACCCAGTAAGTAGAATACATTACGAAACATAAACTACTTATCTGTCTTTGCTATGGGTAGCCTGCTTGCATACGTATTAAATGTCGATATTTCAGTCTGCATGGCCATGGGCCTAGGAAGATCGATACTTTTTTTGAGACGGGGGAGGGGGGCTCATAATCATATATTCATCTTCGCAGACCGTAAAAACAATCAATTTCAAAAGAAGTGAATGATACAGAACATGAATATATGAATATGAGCTCCCCC